AGAAGCGCTGATTCGCTGGCGTCACCGGTACACTCGCGCTTCAGTACCGGAACGGCGTCCTAAACAAAAACGTATTAATTTAAAATTTACCCTTCGCAAAACAATGTACCCTTCAACATTCCAGATGCGACCACCGATCGCTGAGAAACCGTGTGTTTATAAAACTGCATTGCTTATGGATCATGTTATGATAGTCGATATTAAAAAATCAATATCACAGAGTAATTCTTGCTGAAACGAAGACCCGGAACTGCTGCAGGAGCCCCATGTGTAAGGTTGAGTCTGCGGTTGCCAGACATTCATTAAAGACATCACTTCGTGATGAACACCTTATAAAGCGATTCACTGCGCTGAATGGCAATAAATTACTACACGATGCAGCTTAAAATATATTCAAAGCAAATCGCAGTAATCCCCGTTCATTGTCTTGTCAGTTTAATCGGGTATATATAGTGAGATCTGTTTTAAAGCATGCCATTGCGTTTACGCTTACCTATGTAAACATCAGATCTTAACCGAAACAGTTCAACGGAAATAGCAAAAAGATGAAGATGAAGAACACGACAACTGAGATACTGTCGCAAGCGAGCGCTACTTAAGGGAATAAGGGAATATATTTACGTTTTAGGAATGTGGCAGGGTACAGAACTCGCAACACCAAATTCTGTTGATAAAACCTGAAACAAGCACCTAAACGACAAACTTGGTGCAAGGAAGCACATTGAACCTCTGACATTATTGCGCCTTAGAAGTGAGTCTTTGAATGTTACCTAATTGATAAAAGAGTGGGACCATTGAAAAATCCTCCTAAAATAACTTTTTGTGCCAACCATAAAGGAAGAGGAAAATATGAATAAATCAGGTAACTGCAGATGAGGGAACCTTATTTTATCACCTGTATTCATGCTAAAAATATGTTCATATTAGACAGATTTCCCTCAATGGTTGAGAGGATCTGCTATCTCCTAAAAATATCCTTTGCTGCACCAGTCCGCTGTTTCAGAGGCCACCACAGTCCTCTATAGCTAAATAGCTTACAATCCACAAGATACAACTGAAATACTTAAATAACGCAGACTTGATTGCGTCGAGGAAAATGACACATGCCGTAGCACCATAAGATATTATACCCAACAACCAGAATACAAATTTATATCACAGTGATGCTAAAGACTTCTTAACTTTAAGTGACGATATACAACATGAATAAATAACGCCTTGCTTTCCTTAAATTTTACGGTGCTGAGGACAATAGTAAAAACAGCCACAGGAACACACCTGATCGGGTTTAAACTCAGCCCGGTTGCACAACGAAGCAACCCTGGCCAGAGCTATGAACGTCGGAGAGTTGCGATTGTAGGCGGCGGACGATTGTTCCTCTGAAGTGTCGGCTTCGAACACCTGATTATCGAACCACATGTGGGCGACCGTCATCCGGTTTTGCGTCAACGTTCCAGTCTTGTCTGAACAAATGGTGCTCGTGGAGCCAAGAGTCTCGACCGCTTCGAGATTTTTCACCAGACAGTTCTTGCTGGCCATTCGCTTAGCGGTCAACGTCAAGCAAACCTGAGGGTTATAAAGAATAGTAAGAAGGCAAAACTGAAGAGAAACAAAGATTTTGAAAACATGATCCTACCGTTACGGTGGCAAGAAGACCTTCAGGAACATTGGCGACGATGATGCCAATCAAGAATATGACGGCGTCCAGCCAAGAATATCCCAGGATCAAGGCGATCATCGAAAATGTGACGCCGAGGAAAACGGCGAAGCCGGTAATCAGACGAATAAAATGCGATATCTCACGCGAGATCG